CCCTGATGGAGAGTTTTCTTGTGCCTCCTTTTTTAAGGTCTTAACACAACCCTTAGGTAGCTCCAGCGTAGACTTTCCAGTTCTGGAAGTTTGGGGCAAACCAATTCCCCCAAGGATTGGTGCTTTTTGTTGGGAAGCCTTTCTGGGAAGATGTAACACTTGTGACTTGCTCCATAGAAAAAGACTTAATTGGTGCCTATCTCCTAATTGGTGTATCCTTTGTAAGGCAAATGGTGAGAGTTGCTATCACTTACTAATATCTTTCTCACTTGTCTCATATATTTGGGAATGGTTTTTCTCTTTATTTGGTTGTAGATGGACACTCCTGCTAGATGTACAAAGCTTGTTTGTCTCTTCCTTCTTTAGGTGGCCAAAGAAGAGGGGTAGACTTCTTTGGAGATGTGTTGAGTTGCCATGTGTTGGACAATGTGGGAGGAAAGAAATTCAAGGATCTTTAATGAAAAGGAGAGGAATAAGGAGGTCATTGTTGAAACAATTACTACTAGATTAGTGCATTGGGCGAAATCTCTAGATATGTTTGACAATATCTCCACAAATATGATAAGAAGGAATTGGAAGTGACCAACTCAGCACCTGCTAAAACCAAGGTTAGCCAAATTTGGTCTCCCCCGGCCTCTGGCTTTACTAAGCTGAACTTTGATGGGAGTAGTGAAGGTAATCTGGGGCCTTTGGGAATTGGAGGAACTTTTAGGGATGAAGATTGGAAAGTCCTTGCTCTATTTTCTGGTCCTATTGGTGTGGGCAATTCTCGACGAGCTGAGATTCTGGCAGTGATGGAAGGAATGAAGAAGGCAAGGGACCTGGGCTGCAGCAAACTCATTATTGAAGGGGATTCAAAGTTGGTTATAGGATGGCTGCAAGAAGAAAGAAAGGCCTTTGGAAGTTTGCTAATGAAAAAAGAATGTTCAACCGGCTAGCACAAGGTATGGAGATTCAGATTCAATGGGTAAAGAGGTGTGCTAATTCTTTTGCGGATACCCTTGCTAAACAAGGGGTGGGAAGGGAACAACTGTTTTGGGCCATTCTGTAATTGAATTATTTTCTTTGGGGAGGGTTAAGAGAATTTACCCCTCCCTTTGTACTTCCTTCTAATTTGAAAGGTTAATAAAAGGTTGTTTTTTATAAAAAAGAAAGAGGTACATAAGAAGTGACCAGCCTGACTATAGGGGCCAATACTTGGTGTAATGGTAAAACCTTGGGTTGGCAAGCGTGAGAATGCATGTTTGAATATGAGAGTGACCACTTTGTGCAAAAAATGCTGAAGGTTAGGACCGTATCCAGTCTACCCCTCCCAAGACCCTAGATAGCTGGGACCAACATCGGATAAATGGCCTTTATTTAGGTTTTTAGTATACGTGTTTTTAAACCTTTCTGATAGATTTCTAAAAAACTGAAATAGCCCTATGACATGGTTCACAATTAGATTCAATTCAACTTTCTCTATGATTTAAAATACAATCATGATTTTCAGAATATTGATGCAGAGGTTATAAATATGATCCTTTAACCTTAGGTGGTCATATCTCATAAAGGACCTCATGTCTGATGATGAAAATTTGAAAGATACTCCCACTAATCATATTAGATGGGGCAGGGAATTAGGAGAGATCCTTGAAGGTTGTAGTACTTGCTAAGACTTGAAGGAAGCTGAATGCCTTCACTGCTGCCATGGTGAAATCAGGGGTCACAAGGCTTGGAATTTTTTTAATAGGTAACAGGTAACAATTCATTAATATAAACAGAAAAGGTGTACACAATAGGGTCCCAGGAGAGGTAGAAGCAATTGCCTTTCTACAGTACAACTAATTACAATATAGCCCAATACAACTGTCCCAGTGCCCCCTAGTCACCCCTTGTTTGGCCAACAAATTACAAGGCATGGAATTTCTAAGAAGTCCTCATTGTCATTGCAATACTTAAGCTTGTTGATGTGGACGCGTATTGGGAACAGCAGCAGCAATGATCCGGTGTTCTCATCCTATCCAATTCGGCAGCAACAGTCTTATCCATTCAGTAGATTAGATTAGACTATCTTGTTATTCTTGTCTTATTAAGTTAGTAGATTAGATTATCTTATTAGATTAGGATTAAGAGAGACTTATCTTATTAGATTAGGATTAAGAGAGA